CCGGTGGGCCAAACACTGCAATCCATGCCTTCTCAACTGCACGAATGTAGTGCTCGGATTGTTCATTCTTCAACAGGATGGCGGCCGTGTGTCGAGTGGCAGAGTCAACCAGGCCCAAGATGGGAAACTTGGTGCTTCCACGTCGCAGCCAAAAGACATCGGCTTGGACCAGTGCATTGAAGTCCTTGGCCTTAGGCATTGCAGCAGGTGCTGCTTGTGCTGGGCGCTTGTACTTGGCGCACGCAGTGCAAACATAGCCCTTCGCGGCATTGATCACGGACTCAGAAGCGCCACGTGCGGCCAGGAGTTCTGCCAAGGCCTCTGGCCCGGGGTGGCCCAGATTGCGAACAGCCTCGGCCAGAAGATTTGGTTCTGGCGCGATGCCAAGCAACCTGATCTTGTCAAGATCCGCTGGCTCTGGCCTGCACAGGTCGTCATGAAGGAGTACAAGAAGGATGAGGCCGAGAACCCCCAGGTGAATGTCTACTGGCTGGCCTTCAAGACCCAGCCTGGCCTTCAAGACCCAGCTGATCAGGTGCGCGCCGCACCATGTCAGGGCCGATGTCAAGAGCTTGGGTCACGCCCTGGACGACACCCAAAGTGCTTTGAACACAGTTCGCCAGCTGAAATCTCGTGGGGTGACTCGGTACTACGACCTGAACCAAACTAATCGCCAGAACTTGGCTGACGTTGAGGATGACGAACATGGTGAAGCTGACGCTCTTGAATCTGCCTCCGACCATGAAATGGCACCGCCGCGTCAGCGACCCAGGTCGGCTCTCAGCATGCCGGATGTACCGGACATTGGTGAACCTCCACAGGCTGCACCTCAAGATCCACAACCTGACACAGATCCTCAGGCATTGCCAACACCCGAGATTCCTGCGGCTCAACTGCCACCAGTGCCCATGTCACCAGGCAGTCTGTCACAGATCAGCCAGGAACCCAGTGAGGAACCACCGATTCCCTCAGGCCAACCAACACCACATGCAGCAACGGCCAAGCCTGAACTGGATCCACAAACAGCTGCCTTATATGAAACGGCAGAACTTGAGACATTCCAACAACGTCGGTTGCGCTTTAACCAGCAGGAAACGTTGAGCTTTGCACCATGGCGTACACGCCATCCGGCTCTAGAACATGAACATGCACCACAAGCAGCGGCAGCAGCAGAAGCATCAGCAACCCAGACCGCCACGCCGATCACCGGCGAGCAGCTTCCAGGGCAAGCCTTCCAAGTCGAAGACCTTAAGACCCGAAGCTGCTACCAGCTGGATGGCATGTTGACGATGAGGGCTACATCAACGACCGCCCAATGGACTACTGGGAGGTCAGAGCTGGTTGTCTGATTCGGCACCACCTAGTGCCAAGACGAGGCAAGATGAACATCGACAACCTGCCCAAAGACTGTCCGGCACCAGTGGCCCAACTGGATCGAGTGAAAGTCACCCTGATTCACCAACAAGGAGGAGGCAAGGGCCGGCTGATGACTGATGATGGCACGGACACACAACCTCCAAAAGATCTGAAATCCTCTTGGACCGGCGTCACTGTCTTCCAGATCAACGGCGCTCTGAGAAAGGAGATGGCTATGTATGGAGGCCATCATGAAGCCTTCACCTCGGCCAAACAAGAAGCCAAAAGTCAGAAGTTGGCCCGAGTGAAGAAGATGAAGACGGCCAAGAACGACGTCACGCCATCTCGGTCCTCGTGAACGTGCCATGTTCAAGGAGGCAAAGGTCAAAGAGTTGAAGAGTTTCTTTGATCATGGGGTCTGGACCTTCCAGACCAAGTCCGAGGCTGACGAGGCCCGCACCTTGACCTCACGGATCATCCTCAAATGGTCCAAGCATCCTGATGGAAGCCCAAGGGCGAAGGCCCGACTCATCGTCCGAGGGTACAACGCATTGGCTGGACAGATCCCTACATCCAGTCCTACCACAACCCGCTTTTCAAGAAGCATTGTCCTGTCACTTGCAGCTAACTTGAATTGGAACATGTGGACGGCTGACGTTTCGACAGCCTTCCTACAGGGCCGATGTCAGGATCGCAAGTTGTGGGTGAAGCTGCCCAACGAGGCTCTCCAGTTGCTAGGGGCTGACCAGGACACCAGGATGCTCCTCTTGAAACCGATTGATGCCCCCAGAGGCTGGTACTTGGAGGCAGTCGACCGCCGTCTTCGAGCAGGACTACGTCAACACCCGCTCGATCCTTGTGCCTTCCTCATCTATGAGTCCGACTCCCGGACTACAAGGCGGAGGATCCCATCTATGAGGAGGTGAGTTCCCTTGGCCCTGAGCGTTTGCGTGGCATGGTCATCATGCATGTCGATGATATGCTTGGAGCTGGCTGTCCCCGTTCACCTCGCTATAAGGCCGTCACTGACCTGTTGCGGGAGAACTTCTCGTTCAGGGAGTGGAAAGAAGAGGAACCGACCCTGGAATACTGTGGATGTCAACTTGAGAAGACAGAAGCTGGAGGCCGACGACTTCATCAAGAGCCGTATATGGGCAAGATCAAGCCCATCAGCTTCTCCAAGGGACGTCCAATGTCCGACTACCTCCTGGACAAGGAGATCACCCAAGTCCGTGGCCAGGTGTTCAGACTTCACCGCATCTACAGTGGTCCACCCCTACGCCCGCTGGCCAAATCACCAAGGCTACAGTGCAGACTCTCCACGAGTGCAACAGGCTCCTGAAATTCGCTAAGGAAAAAACAAGGATGTGAGCTTGCACTACAACCGCCTATGTCATCCTGATGACCAGCTGGTGTGCTTCTTCGACGCTGGCTTCACTGCCAGGACTGACGGAAGCTCTCAAGGTGGCTACATCACCTTGCTGGGCTGGTCAACAAGACCTTGCTTTCCTCAGCTGAGGAGGGCGAGTATCATGTTTTGGATTGGAGAAGCTTCCGCACACCTCGTGTTGCTCGCAGCAGCTTGGGAGCAGAGGCACAGGCCGGAGGCCAGGCAGCGGATGCAGTTGATTTCACCTGGCGCCACTTGATGCAACCCAACACCAGGTTGAAGGATCTGCTCGAGATCCCATCTTCGCTCAAGCCAGTTCTCATCACCGATGCCAAAGCTCTCTGTGATTCCTACCACAGGGAGGGAATCGGTTCGTCGGTGGTTGACAAGCGCGTCTGTTTGGAGATCAGGGTGATGAAGGAGCGCCTGGAGGAGCTGTCTGGCTCCCTTCGATGGATGAGCTCTGAAAGGCAGGTGGCCGATGGCTTGACGAAGGAGTCTGCAAGAGGACTCTTGGCTTCGAGGCTTCGCCATGGAAGACTGAAGATGACCTGGGATCCACACTATGTGGCGCACAAGAAGAAAACCAAGGCCGAGAAGGCCGCTGCTCTAGCAGAATCCACTGCACTTCCTCCTCTTCCTCAGTGCACCGAGGACTTCAAGGAAGATGAGCGCCCCCAGGCCTCAATGACGACCCTCAGACTGAGCACACCACTGAGTATGACACCACTCCACAGGTCAATGAGGCTTCAACGAATGAGGAGTGGCAGGTTGACAAGAATGACCACATTGAATTTGTCAGCTTTGTCCAGTATGCCGGCGCTCTTGAGTATGTGGACGCCAAACGCCATGTCGCGCCGCCTCACCAGGACTATGTCAGTATGAGCTGCCTGAAGAACCTGTTCCTTGGGCTTGTGAGTTTTTCAACGCTTGCAGCTGGAAAGGCCGAGTCCGACACCTGCTTGAAAGTTGAAACCGACACCCCTGGAAATGATGACAGTTCAGGTGACATGTGGTTGAGCTTGTTCATGATGCTGCACCTCGGACTGATGATGTGTTTAGTTTTTCTTTGTGGCCGCGCTTCAAAGAGTCCGAGTTCGAGTGAGAAGCCTGAAAGCACCGCCGTAGATGCCAGTGTACAGAAAGATGATCCAATTGTTTTGCAACGATGGTGCGAGATCGCCAAAGAGGAAACCCGGAAGGCCAATGAATACTCTGCAGCAGCTCGCGAAGCGAGGAAAGCTCTGGACCTCCTGACTGAGGCCAATGAGCTGAGATCCCTAGTCGAAGATGGGGATCAGTTGCTGAAGGCATTGGTCACTGAGATGGAAGACCATGCCCGAAAGTGTCCATGTGGAAAAGAATTGTTTGTAGTCCGAAAGGGACGATGCTGGCACCATTTTGGCTGCCACATTTTAGAACAGGCAGTGCCGGCCAATGTTCAGGCCGTACGCGGCTGCAGTTTCTGCACAGAGCACCAGATCCCGCCACTACCCAGCGGGCTGGTGCATTCGACATGATGTCGATATGTGGCTGCAGGACGCCACGCGTTTTGCTTTTGGCCAAGAACGGCCCATGTGAAGTGCACGCTGTGCACTAAGGTTCACTAGAAACGAAACCTGTCCATCCGAGACTGGGTGGGCTCAAGCTTGCCAAATCACCTGCGGTGTGGCTGCCCCGCGGCTTTCGTGCGCGCGTCGCGCTCCGTTCGTTCGCTGCTTGCGTTCGACTTGTGTTGTGGACCTCGTGAGCCACTTCTACATCTTCATAGAACGTGGTTATACTGCAGGGCATGTGCATTTAAGTTCCACCCTCCTGAACCAGTGAGCCCTAAGCTAAGTGAAGCCAATGTTGCTGTGCCTTAGCTTTGTCGAAGTATATATAGCTTTATTTCACGTGAGTGAGAAGTCCTTCATGTGACTAAAGCGTCTCACGAAGTAGCGCATCACGAAGCGGCCGTGCGGAACATCACAGCCTCGACTCCAAGCCTTTGATGTCGGAGTTCCACCAGATGAAATCAACTGAAAGAGTCCCAATTCTCAAAAATGTTTTGGCTTATATACCCGTCCTTTCGCCGCCGTGGAGAACCAACTGTCTCACAGATGTGCAGCTACGCAATGCTACGCATGTGTTCTGAGTTGTTCTGACAGCCTCTTCAAATCTCTTAGGTGGTCTTTGTTCTGGATGCAATTGTCTATAAATGAGCATGGGTTTCTGTCGAAAGTGGTTTGTCGATGCAAAGTTTCTTTGTCAGGTACACTGGGCCTGCGCAGTGTGCCAACAATGGAGGTGACCTTGGAAAGACCCGGAAGACTCATGCAAATCCTTTGCAAGTGATGTACCACTTGAAAACAGACCTATGGGGTCACCTGTGTTTGCCAGCAGAGGTGTTTTGACTTTGTCCCAGCTGGCTTCTCGCCATAGCGTGCCCTACATTGACTGTTTTGAGCAGGGGACCAAAACAGCATGGTGGTTTTATCCTAGGATGAATGCGTTTGTAGGAGAGTTTGAAGAACCATGGCCTATTGTCAATCTTACAGGGCTTTTCTGCCTCAAACTCCATGGTCAAAGCCACCCATCATTTTCATGTTCACAATGTTCATGTCATGTTCAAATCCATGAAACTACAGGTGCTTTTTTGCTCCACATATAGCAGGCCATTGCGGAGGAATCACTTCGCCGCATCTGGCAATTTGGAGCTAATGATCTCATCAAGGCAAGTGGCTGGCAGTCGTTGCTTTGTCATTTATTTGCAAAGCAGCCACAGAGGGTCGTATATAACTTAGTGTGGAAACAAAGCTTTGATGTTTCATGCACTGCTTACATATGTGTTTGCGTATCACCCTTGGATTCACACCCAGAACGTTCAGGTTGAACACATTGAAGTGAAGCCTAGCTGTCACCTTCCTGTTGGAGATGTTCTAATTCTAAGCAGGATGACACCGATGTTGGGACTTGACACACTCACACCCACCTGGTGCCGTGCTGCGTGCAGTTGCTTTGCGGCTTTGGATCCCTTGGCTTAAGGCATTGGCTGGACAGTTTGAGATATAGTACAAAATGATGTACACGTCTTTCCAAATGAAACATAGATCATTGATCTATATAGAATTGGCCGGAAGCCATTCTTTCTAGCCTAATGTTCAAGTTGTCAAAGTCCATTTGTGTGTTGCAGGCACAGACCCTTCCTGGAGGCAGTAGCAAGTGCAATAGACTGGTCTTTGCAGCAGCTGCCTTTGCGAGGCTCAGCCGGTTTAAACTATCGAGGATTACATGCACAGCTGCTGTTTAAGCCCTGCTTAAAGTTTCACTTTGCTGAGCTTGTGGTGGTTGTTCTCGCTAAGCCTGAACACTGGCTGCACTAGCTAAGACCCTGGCCGCCATGGCCTTCAGGCCTGGTGCAGGCAGCGTGGTTCTTGGCAGTGATACTCGGCTGAAGCGATTGATTTAGCCTCCATCACAGAGGGCTGGTGTCCTTGCTTTCCTCTATGTGTTGTTCCGTGTGAAAATTTATTGGAAGCATTGATGTGCCTCGCAAGCTTTGCCACAACCCTCGGTTTCTTCCTGCACCGATCATTCTTGATTTGTCCATTGGCCGGTTGCTGATTCAGGCTTGCAAGCCCGGAGCATAAAGTGATGACTTCCATTGCGAATCAGGACTGTTCGATGTGGTGTTTTCATACGCTAAAGCGTGTTTTCATACTTCTGGACACGCTGTGATGGCCTTTGGCGCCTTTGGCTTCTCAGATGCTCATGCAGCTGGAACATTTGTCTCTGGCAGAGCTGGCGGGGGTCTGGGTGCTTAGTGACTTGGTTTGACTGTGTATGCGTTGGTCACTGGATTGATCCTATACAGAAAGGGAGTTTTCAGATCTTCCATCATGTTCCCGAAAGCAAAATTGGTGCCGGCACGAATGCATCCACCGCCACCAAGTCCACCGCGATACGCTAGTGTCGCATTGATCAGCTTTTAGGTTGCTTGGTCCTTTGCTTCACTCCGCCCAGAGCTCAGAACAAAATGGGATCTCTTGCGCCCTGTGCTCCACATTTTAATTTTTGAAGCAGGTCTTCGACATGGAAGGCTGATGCAAAGTATTGCCTCACAGGCAGGAGCGCGGAGCGCAGGAGTATTTGAAGCTGCATGGAAGGTGTGATTGTTAGCAGCTCACCATGCGGAAAGCGGAAAGGGCAAGCACATCTTCTGGAAGTGCAACTTCTCACATGTTGTTTTCCAAGAAGTGTGCAGCTTGATCCTCATATTTACCATTGTATCATGTTGAAGTCATGTTTTATTCCTTGTGGACATCATCATGATTGGGTCAAAATGATGGGTTTAGCAACAATGGCATGTGGCATGTGGTGTTTGATTTAGACACCAGTCACACCACTTGGCAACTTCCAAGTAGCCGAACAGACTCAGCTTTCCTTCATCACATGCATTCTAGCGATGTCCTTCTGAGTCCATTAAGACATGACATTGCCATGCTCTGTTAGCTCTTTTGTTATTTTTTTTGTTTGCCTTCAACAAGGTGAAATATATGCTGTAAATGTATGTTACTTTTGCACAAGTGATGCCTTGGATTCAGAAGCGCCATGGCTGCTGGCCTGCAGCATACCGTGCTTCTTTGCTGTGATGGTGAAGCTGTGGCCTTCGGCAAAAATGACATGGGGCAATGTGTACCTCGGAATGAGCTATGAAGTGCCATGAGGGTTTGTACTGAAGCTCTAACAAAAGAACTCTTACAGAAGACCTTTACCTACTCTTACCTGTTCTTACCGACTCTTACCTCTCTTACTATATCAAGTACGAAGATTACTTAGGACAACACATTGCGAGCTCTTCATCGCTCAGGAGCTTCCGGAGCTGCCTGACGGAAGGAGGGCTGGACAGCGAGTGAAGCCGAGTTGAAGCGAAGTTCAGATGTTTCACTCACGCTACTAGGAGCAAGGACGCTACTAGCGGCTCCTGGCATCGCTACTAGGAGCAAGGACGCTACTAGGGTCTCCTGGCCGTACTACTAGGAGCAATAAGCTACTAGGTAAAGTTCAGATGTTTCACTCACGATGTTTTTCTTCAGGTGCTACATTTCTGCATCTGCTGGTATCAATCACACACTCTTGCTGCAAGACGACGGGTACATAGTTCCTTGGTCCAATATGTTTGGCAACAAATGAACCCTCCTGAAACGAGTCCCAACCCAAGAATGAGAGCTTTCGGAGCTGTGAGATTGATTGATGATTGATCGATGAAGTCTTAGTTGGTCTTAGTTGTCGTGTGGTCTGACTGATTTTGTTCTGTGCACTGGACTTCCACATTGTTTGTGCTTATCTAGCACTTGTTCAGTGCATGTCATGTCACCTTTAGGTGGCCTGCGGCGGTCGCAGTGAAGGTCAGTGTGAGGCTGGCAAGCGGAACATGAGACGGCCACACCGCTACTCAACCAGCTCATGTATTTATATTTGTATATTATACGTGTATGTATGTATATCTATATATATATATAATATTTGTATGTGCAATCTTTTGCTGGCAGGTTCCCGATTTGCCCGACGGTCTGAGATATGTGCAAGCTGCTGCAGGGTACTGTTTCTCGATCGTTATCAGGCAGGCACCCAAATTCTGTTGTATTCTTTGGACCTTGCACGAGTTCACCACAGGGCCTGCAAAAACATGGCATGGAGTCTGTCCAGTTCGCTCCCGCAGCATTGTGCAGGGAGGATGGTGCGGCATTTGCCTTTGGAGATGATACGGCTGGGCAGTGCAGGATACCTGCGCTGCCACCCGGAGAACGTCTCTTGCACAGCTTGAGAGGCACATTCACTCCCAGGGACTCAATTGAATTTCTTCCCAAGGAAGCTTCTAGCTACTGGTAGCTTCTTGTTCCTAGTAGTAAGGCCAGGAGCCCCTAGTAGCGTCCTTATGCCCTAGTAGCTTCCTTGTTCCTACTTCTAAATGCTTGCTTACACATTGAGGCTATGTATCCGTTTCGGCTAGCCGCACACATGCTGTGCTACTTCGAGACGACGGACAAGCCATAGCTTGGGGGCACGGCCAAGCAGGCGAAAGGAGATCAAGCTGTTTTGGTCCTTTTTTGTTGAGGCCTTGGCCCTGCCTCCTTACTGAACTAAATAGGGGACAACTTAATTCAGTAAGGCGCCAAAAGCTACAAGTAATTGGATGAAGAAGTGCTCGCACTATTCATGTGGTTCCTAGATTGTTAGGCGAATGCAGAGTGCCAGAGCTCCCTGATGGGCTTCAGTATGTCGATGCTGCTGCAGGCAGGGCTGTGTTGAAAAGGCAATCGCATTCCCGGCTTTTCTCCAATATTTTGGGGATTGAGTACCGATGAGCGTGTGGACAGCACCGATGAGCGTGTGGACACGGTACGAGAGCAAAAATGCTTTCTACACACAGCCCTGGTGAGAGGTGGAAGCCACACAGTTCTCATCCGATCAGATGGTGTGGCTCTGGCATTTGGTCACAACGGCGCTGGCCAGTGTGACTTGCCAGACCTACCACAGGCGTTTGCGGACAAGTTTTTGGCATGTAGAGATGGAACAAGATGCACTGATACTGGAACAACTCCTTTTTCTTGTCTGCTAGCAGTCTTACTCTGCTGAACGTTTTCCTACCTTTGCTTTTCTTAGTCTTGAAGTTTTACATCCCTTTGTGCATTTGCAGGATTCGGGCCTGCGATACATTGCATGTGCGGCTTCCTGGACTCACACAGTGCTCTTACGTGACGATGGTGAAGTGTTTGCTTTTGGTGGCAATGGCCGAGGGCAGTTTCATGGTCAGCATTTTGAGCGGCAAACATCTATTCGGTTGGCATGCTGTGCAACTGTTGACCGATCAGTACTTGTAGTTTGAATGATCTGTAGTGCTCAGTGTCAGCTTTGTTCATCGGGTATCAGGTTTCCCTTGAAACCGCAAAGGTGCAATGTGCCACCCTTGGCAGATGGGCTCTCCTATGTGGGAGTAGCAGCTGGAGGTGCTCATACACTGCTGCTTGTTCAACAAATTGTTGATACATGTTGATACCGTATCGCAAGGTGTCGCAGCATCATTTCCATTCTTAATCAAGGGCATCCAGGGTCTTGCACCCTAACCCCAGGCACTCACAATCTCCTCTCCCTTTCGCCTTGTCTGAGTAGCTGTGATTGGAGGAGAAGAGCATTCTTCACTTCTTTCACCATCGCTGACCTAGCTCGCAGTGTCACAATTTCACCCCAGTTTGTTTTATTAGGGATGCCTCGAACATTTTCAATCGCTCGTTCAGTGTTGCTTTCTTTGAGGGGTGCAACGAACAACATGTATATACTGTATATATGTTTTTTGTATTGAACGAACCGGCACGAAGGAAGGCCCAAACGTAGAAGACGTACGAGAGGAAGAGAAAACAAGGAAGGAAAGAGGAACGAAGGAAGGCCCGGCTGACCGAGCGAGCGAGCGAGCAAAAGAATCAATGAAGGAGCGACCGAATCAACCATCCAACAAAGAACTGAACGGGAGAATGAACAAACAAACTGCGGAATAGGGAGCCAAGCAATGGACAAAATTCAAACGACGGAAAGCACACAGAAATCTGAGTTTCCCTATAAATCTAGCAACCAAATCATTAGCGTGAGCTATCCTGCGTCCATATGTAGTAGCTTCTTGCAGGTACTAGCTACCTAGCTACTACTAGCCTACTAGGTACCTCCTAGCGGCCTACCCCCCCAAGAATGATAGATGAAGTAAGTACGAAGTAAGTGTGGAATTCAGCACTTTTTTGCCCTGCAACATCGGAGCATTCCTGGCGTTTGGCTCTCTTTTGTAACCTTCAGCAGTTTTGGCCACTTTGGCAACAAATAGACACACCACATCGAAGGTTAGGGCCGTTGGAGTGACATCCCTTAGTTTCCCTTTCGTCTCTTTTTAGTTACCTCCCTTTAGCTGGGGGGGGGAGGTCGTAGCTAGTAGCTTACAAGCAGCTTACAAGTAAGGGTGAACTACCAAGCTTAAGAAGTTACTACATATCATCGGACGCAGGCACTATTATTCTCTTGGTTCCTAGATGTGTGGGGGAACTTAACGCGCCTTTTGACATTTTGGTAGCTCTCCTACAAAAGCCCCTTAGGCTGAGCTGGGTTGTGTCTTGCCAGCGGACTGTCTTGTTCCAGAGGGAAGTTGTCTCCCAGTATATGATCCGATTCTAGAAGAAAATTATTGTCATAGCTCTATTTTTTCTGGTCACTGCCCGCACGGAGGGTATCTCCTCTTCAACAAACAGTGGATATTTTTTATGCTTTTCTTCCCTTGTAGTACGGCCAACGCCTGCACTTGGTAAGCGCTGAGGCTGCTGCGAAGCGATGGGATTCCTGTGCTCTTTGGTGACAACAGGGCCCGGGGTGATCGATTTTGCCTCGTTTCACTGCGTCAACACAATTTATGATCACAAACTGCAGCCCAGGGTCTACTCCCAACTCGGACAATAACACTTTGGCCAAGCACAATGTCTAAGCTCCACTCGAGTAGGGAAGTCCTACAGGTGAGAATGAGCAGACTGCGTTTCATGTCCAGATTAAGATCGAGTATGATCAAGACAGCCTATATAGAGGAGAGATGGTTTCTTGTTGCCTGGTCGGCTTTGCCTTCAGTTCTAATGGCACATCACCAAGCTTGAAATTTCGGCTGCGAAGCACAACTTTCAACACTGTGTTCTTTTTCGGCGATTTGAAGGAATACGTTGGAGGCCATCGCTATTAGGTTGGAGGCGCTAGTAGGTTGGAGGCCGTTACAACTAGGTTCCCATTGCTATTGTATAATTATATAGGTTCCCAGTATTGTATTACAATTCGTAGTTCAAAGAATCTGCTCAGAGATTGTCTGGAACTCCCTGTCCAGTGTGGCCAATGCTCACCGCCGGAATTGGATTCATCAGTCCGATGTGTTCCACCTGCCGATCCCTGGCCTGTCATGGTAGTGACGCTCCTGGCAGAGGTGCCAAGGGCCAGGGCGGTTTATTGCTCCCAACCCGCGCCACTCTTTTGCCTTAACGGTTTCAAGGATCTAGCCAGAATTTAATTGTTTTGTGCAAAACATT